CTTCCTGTCCCTCTGATTCTGATAGACCACCTTGAACCTGTCAGACCGGCAAGTCGTAAAAGTAACGGCCAGCAGTTGGACGGACCGCGTTGCGCCCGCCACCGCGCAGCTCAGCCGCCGCGGGATGATTCGAGCCTGCGCACGGAATGGCAGCGAAGTCTTCGAATGCGCGCGCGCCGTCCGCCTGCGCATTTCCAATCTTCTCGGCGATCTGCCACTCCTCCCGCGTCGTCCTCGTCCTAGGAGTGGGCAAACGCGCCAGCAATGGTTGTGGCCCCCGACCTGCCCATTGTAACTGCGCGGGGGAAGCGTCGCCAGCCTTCGCGGCGCTTCCTGTCCTCGGAGGCCTCGGGGGGGCCAGTTCGAATCACTAGCGCAGAGTAGTCGTCGCAGGGCCCATAGCGACGGCGCCCGAAGTCGAAGACATCACACAGCGTCGCTCATTGAACGTCGGCCGTGCAAAGCCGCCTGGAAGCCAGCCGCTCAATCACGAAGTTCTTGAAGTAGTCTGCAGAGGTGTCCGGCGCAAGCGACAGCCGAATGCGATTCACTAGCCACTCGCCCGAGCTTGTGTGTTCAATATTGGCATCGTCTCGCTCTTGCCTCAGTTCGGGCACGACGGCCCCGGGAAGCTACTTTAAGGAACAAATTGTGCCAGTGCGTACCGCGACAACCGCAGGTAAAAATGCGCGACCAACTAGAGACGCCTCCGAGAGGGAAGCCCGCGCTTTTCCCATCCCGACAATAATTGCCGACTGACGCGGCTCGAAAGCCTCGGGAGCATGGGGGCATGACATAATTTGTTGCCCAACGCGACACTCGAGTATCATATCGTCCTTGTAGATGGTCGAATGCTCTAGAACGCTGTTCATGATGGCCGACCGCCAAAAAAACGTATTGATCCCGCATTATTGGGGTTCATTCGTCTCGATCCACCGAATAGGTTGAACGCCCACTGCGTTGACCCTTGCAACGGGCGCGCTAATCAGGCGCAGGAACTCCGCCGTATATTCGTCGGGTACCAACCGGATCTGAACAAAGTCCGACGATGGGGCCATGCCCAAGAAACGCACTGTTTCGTTCCATGGAAGAGCGCATATAGACGGATCAAAACCAGCGAGCTCTCGCGGCCACGTTCTCACTCGCAACCCGCAGCTGGCCACGGTGCCGCAACCTTGCTGGGCGCGCAGCTGCGGTTACTACGCGTTTTGGTCCCCTTAGATGTTTGGATGCTAACTATCTAGCGTGGTTGCGAAAACGGGATTGGCACCTCGAGGTTAGAGGGCGTTTGCAAACTGGTTGCGAAGTAGCTCGCGCAAACAGGGCAAGCGGTTCGCGGCCCCAGCTAGGGTTCAGTTTCATAGGTTTCCCAGCGTTGCTGTCTCATTGTCTGCGGGAAAGTCGCAGCGCGGCGGAGGGGGCGCCAGCGCGCGTCGCCGCGCGCGGGCTGGCGGCGGGGGCGACCGCGCCAACGGGGCCACGTGGAGACCCGAAGAGGCCCCAGAGATCACCCGAGGAGGCCTCGAGAGGTCCTGCAGAGAGACCTCGCGGGACAGGGGCTCTCCAGGAGGTCCTGCAGGCAGGGCCTCGAAGAAGCCGCCTCAGGAGGAGGCGGAAGAAGGATCGAGAAGGAGAAAGAGGAGGAGGAGGAAGAGGAGGAGAAGGAGAAGGAGAAGGAGGAAGAGGAGCTACGAGGAGGAGAGGGAGGAGGGCGAGGAGGAGGAGGTGGAGGAGGTGGAGGGGGGGGGGGGAAAGGGGGGGGGAGGTGGCGGAGGAGGAGGAAGAATATTGTTTGTTCGCGTTGCTGCGCGCCGGAGCGGGGGGAAGCCCATGCTTGCGCAGCTCGGCCCTCTACCCCGCGCTGCCCGGCAATCTCGCCAGCGAAGGCAACGCGTCAACCAATCTGAACTCTCGCGCGCGATTGCTCAAAGTTCAGCGGCAGGATGGCTGTCGAAATTCCCCCCGCGGAAGTGCGCTGAAACGCGCGAGGCTCGCGCGCGCGAGATAGCTTAACCAAAGCCCCGTGATTGCGCGCCCTGCGTCGGACGGCCCCCCCGTCCAAACTTGCAACTGTCCATGGTGGAACGCAGCGTCCAAGCCGCGTGCCCAAGGCGCAAAAAGCTTGCTCCATGCCAGACCAAACGAGCCCGTTCTCTCCTAACACCTTACGCGCGCCCCTTGTCTGAACAGCCCTACTTTGAGCGCGTGCGCTGTTTGCGAAGAGAACGTCATTGGCAAAAAAGAAAAGCCTTCAGAAATGCACCCAGTGCCTTCGCGCAGGGCATCTTGAAATTTGCAAGCGTCGGTTTCTCGATGGGGTGGCTGCCTAAATCGTCGAGGCGTTGAGCTGAGACCTCTTCTAAAACCCCGCGGTCAATCGCTGTCAAGCCATGCCGATGGGCCCATTGCCCCCTTCAGAACGCGGCGCTTGCGTTCGTGCCAGAAGGTCGAAACAACCGCGGCATGGAGCTCCGGATGGCTCGGCGCATGCTGCGCATGGTGCCCCTCTGCCTTCCGCAGTGCGAGCCCGCGCGCAGCCTGGCGCATCACCAGGTTGTCGTGGATGGCAGCGGCGAGGTCAGCGGCGCGAGCGTTGCCGCTGTTTGCAGTCCCCGGCAGCTCCATCGCACGAGTCACAGCAAGAAAGCTCGCCGACCCCCCTGAGCACGCACCCTCCTTGAGTACAACGCCTCGGATGTTTTGCATCATCACAAAGCAGAAAGACAACAGCTCTGAAGCCGATTCGTTCGGCGAATGATTGGCATGTTTGCGTCCGGCGGATCGGGCGCGGGCATGCGCGTTGGGCCAGCGCCGCGCTTTCAGATACTTGTCGGCAGCAGCACCTCCCAATCCATGGTCTTCCAGCCGCTCTCTGAAGGTTGCTGCTTCCTTTCCGAGCGCGGCATCGGCGCAGTTGCAGCAACTCCAATCATACCGCCAGGTACTTGGCAAATTGTGATGCACATCGGCGTCTTGCAACAAAACAGCTGGGATGTAGTTGTAGCGGGGCAAAACATCCAACGATTCTAACTCGCCCTTCTGTCCGCGCGTGGCAACATCGTGCGATATGTCCTGCGTCGCCGCGACGCCGTCGTCGGAATGCTGTCTGAACGATAAGACGTCGAGCGATGTCGAAGGAATGAGAAACCGCATCAGGTCTGGAAGGTGCGTGCTCCTCAACGCCGCAATGCGTTCGCGTGGGGCGCATGTTTTCAGCCCGACAGAGCCATTCGCACCCGTCGAAAACTTGTGGCCGCGCTCGTTTTGCACGGGCATTGCCGCGCGTCCTGTCACGAGACGGAGGTCAGTCTCTCCCTCGATGGGCAACGAGATGCCGCGTCTCAAGTCGGGGCCGCTCGGTCCCCCGACGAAGAACTTCACTGCGCGCCGAAACAGCTCGGCCATGCCACCAGGGAGCACCGCAACAATGTCGGGCCTCGGCGCGCAGATAGTCATCCGCGCAATCTCGCAGCTCAAGATCGGGTACCCGAACGCCTTCAGGATCCAATATACTGCCTAGACTTTCCTTGCATTGCGTGGCTGCACAGCCTGCCCAGGCGAAATCTCATCTGCGCGCAGACTGGCGAAGACACGGTTGTTGAACGCGTCCAACGCGCGCGTCAAGATGGGCCGAAACTCGCTGGGCACTTTGCACACGGCCCCCAAGACAGCAAACGGGCATTGGATGAACAGCTCGACGGGAGGGGCTCCGACCATCTTGTGGGGCACTGACTGACGTTGAATGAGCGTCCCGATCGCGGTGCTCTGGAATGTGTTGACGCGGAGAAAACAATGGAAGCCTGCCGCCATCATCCCGCAACTTTCTGAGACTGCGTTCTAAAACGCTGGCGCTAACGTGTGTGTCGCGGCCAAAATGAGCAAACTTAATCCTCTTGGCTTCGCCCGTTGCGTCGAGCCAAAACGGCTATCGCGGCATCGAACGCAACTTGGACCGGCGCAGCTTGCGCCGAGTGGCGCCGTGCCACAATTGTCGGGGCGACCACGGCAATGTCCGTTCGAACCTTGATTGGGATGTGGATGTGGGTGGTGGTGGGGGGGGGTCTGATATTGGATGGGGGATTGAAGGGGTGGGCGGGGGTCGAGACGTTGAGGTCGCAGCCTGTTGGAGCCGCATTGCCCCCCCCCCAATTCGCGCGGAACGAATGGCCATGGCCATGTAGTGGAGATCGAATTGACTGTGGTTATTGATGAGTGCGTTGGTGGCGATGGTAAAGTTAGCGTTGCTTTGATCGGGGTGGTGCTGTTGATGATGCTGGTGATGATGGTGATGATGATGCGGGTGATAATGCTGCGTTGTACACTCGCGATTGCAGGGCGGTGGTCGGAGTGGCCCCTCGCGTATCTGTTGACGCGCGCGTTTAACATGCGCGCGTGCTGCGTGCGGGATCTTGTGGAGTCGTGCCCCATGTGCACCTGCGCCCCTGATGCGTGAAGGCCGCCCCTCGACGGGCGCACGGCGGCTCGATCGCATCGCATGTGGGGCGAGTGCCAAAAGATGGCCCCGCTGTGAACGGGGCCCTGATGCCTGTTCACCTCTGCCCAGACCTCGGCAGCTGCCGAGCAAGCCTCGCGGGCCAGCTGGGTGGCGAGCCGGAAGGGGCACCCACGCTGGGCGGCGAGCCCCTTCGCGTTGTCGCGCGTCCTGCTGGCGCAGGCGCCGCGGGTGGCGTTCCTGGCGTCCATTAGCTTCGGCCACGGGGAGTTGTCGACGCAGCCCTTGCCCTTCGGCTTGCCTCGTGGAAGCCAACGGGGGCGGGGGGGGCAGAACCGATGGGGGGGGTGGGAAAGCGGGGGCCCCAATGGGAGGCAGGCCGATGGCATCAGCCATTCCCCTTCGCCCCCCGCTGCAACTGTCGCCACCCGCCTCGCCCGCGAGCTCGCTGCCACTTCGCGCCCGCACGGGGGCCTCCAACAGGGGCTGCCTCGGCCTTGCCCTCGGCCTTGGCCGTGGCCCTGGCCTTGGCGCTTGGCCCCTCGGCCGCGCTCGCGCCCCTCTTCCTCTTGGCCTTCGCGCTCGCCAGAATGCTCGGCTCGAGCGCCCCGAGCTCGCCCCGGGGGGCTGCGGCCGCGTCGCCCGCGTCGGCTTTGGAGGTCTTCGTCGGCACGGGCGCCGTCTCAGGGGCGCCCCCCGCCCCGGCTGCAGCGGCAGCCGCTCCATCGCCGTTGCGCGGGACATCTGCGAGCGTCTGCAATGGAGGCAAATGCGCGCTCGAGTGCGGCAGCGCCCTGGCGCGCTGCGCACGCTGCTGCTGGAACTGTTTGCCGAGCTGCTGCGCCGGGGGCCCGAGCGCGCCAGCAGCAGCGCATCTGCAGCATCAGCCCCGTTGTTGCCGAACACCTGGCGGGCCAAGCCCGCTGAGAGCCGAGACCGCGGCGCGCTCGCTCGAAGCGCCAGCTGTGAGCATTTCGGCTGATCGCTCGAGCTGGCAGGCGATGCCGCGCTTGGTTCGCGGCTGTCCTTGCCCTTGAACTCGGCCGCCGTATTCCCGCGAACCATCTTGATCTCCGCGACGTCGACCTCGGGCGGGAAAGCCGCAGCCGGATCAGCTGGGTTGGGCCACGCGAGCCTGTAGACTGACTGCGCGAAGCCCTGCGGCGTCGCGCAGGTCTTCCCGCGGCCGTGGGGGCATGCCTCTGCCTTGTCGAGCCCCTTGATTCTGGACTGCGCCATGTCTGCTATGAAGCGCTTCTTCTCCGCGGCGACCATGGTGACGCCAGAGTAGTGGCGCGCGAGGACGAAGGCAGCAACGGCCATCTTGGTCTTCTCGCTTGGGCGCATGATGCCCGGCCTCCACGCGCGCGAGGCCAAGACGGCCACCGTCGCAAACTCGGATATCACGGGCTCCATCATGGCGTATCAGTCGGACGCCGCGAGGAAGAGCTGCAGGTCGGGGAGCGCCTGTTGGCGCCGCGGAGCCTTCGACTTCCTCTACAGTTCAGTCGCGCTGGCAGCGTCGATCAAGGCCGTCGCCAGCAGGAGCTTCTGGTCGGGCGCGCGCCCACGCGTCCGCATGCAAGCTGATGGCTGTCGAGGAGGCGAAGGAAGCCGCGAGCGAGCTTCCCTGGGCCTGAGGCAGGGCCGCCTCAGACACCCCTGGGCCGACCTGGTTGGCCGCGCAAGCAAAGCGCGGCGATTTGATGTCACGCTGACGCTGGGCCTCGAACTCCATGGCTCGGAAGCTGTTCGAAGGACTGCGAAGCGAGCAAACGCCAAGCGATGCTCGAGCCCAAAGACGGCTACGGACGTGTGTTTCGGTAGCTCATGGCAGGTGAGCTTTCGTTGCGGCGACTCGGCTGTTTAGGGTCCAGGCACTCAGAAATTATGTTGTCGTGAGCTGGTCTGCGTCCGATCTGAGACGCCATGCCACGCTTTGCTGGTTCCCCTCCCCTCCCGCTCCATCTACTCCGCTCCATCTCGCCCCCTAACCCGAGACCTACATGCAGCTCCAGACCTCGTCGCTGCCGGCTGCGCGGCAAGGCGCCCGCGAAACCCCAGCGGCATCTAACGACGCTGAGAATGAAGGGCAGTGAGCTGAAATTTGCCGCGCGCGGCTCTGATCCACCAGGGCCTGCGAGGGGGCCTCTGATGCACCCGCTGCTCATGGGCAGTTGGTGCACGTGCGCCAACTGCCCCTGGGCAGTTGGTGCATGCACCAACTGCCCCTGGGGAGTTGGTGCATATGCGCCAACTGCCCCGGGGGAGTTGGTGCATGCACCACCCACCGCGCATCTCGCATACCCCTCGCGCGCGCTGCCCCCATGCCCCCCCCCCCCCCCCCAGGAAATTGCATCGGCGGAATTCTCGCCCCCGCCCGCGTGTCCGGCGCCAGTGACGCTGCCGCCGCGCGCCGGCCGCCCTCGTCGTGGACGGTCTTCAGCACGCCCGTCCACGGCGGCATGAGGCAATGGCAAAATACCGCCCACAACGCCTCGGCTCTCCACTTTTGCTTTGGACTTTGGAATTCTTGGGGTTCCCGTCGCCAGGGCCGCCAAGGGATGTGCTTTTCTTCGCGTTCTGTGCCGCGGCAGAGGCAGACCCGGCGGTGTCCTTGCACGGGGGCCCCCGTGTCCCTGTCCATTTTGGCCACGCGCGCAAGCCTTTTTTAAGGCGTCGCTTTGCGATGCTCGCGGGGGCGCTGATCCTGCGACGACGAACAGGACCCCGATTGAATGCGTAGCGCAAGCCGCCTTTCGAGGATGTCCACTCTCTACTCTGCGGGCGTGGGCGGTCGTTGCAATTGAAGCGTTCGTGACTTCGCGTTCCTCACTTCTACTGCGATGATTTCCACCTTTCACGCCGCCTTTCTTAGGATCGCCTCCTTCCTGTCGCCTTTCACTCCGCCGCCGCCGCCTTCGCCGCCTCGGGCGGCGTCTCGCTGCGCGGGGGCCGCGGGGGCGGCCTCTTAGGGTGCTCGCGTTGACGCTCGGCCTGGGGGAACTGGCATTTTCCTTGAATCAAACGTTTACATCCGACATATTTCTTCAAGGTCTTTCCATCTTGCGTTGAGATACATATATAATAGAGCAGCCGCTTTTTCTCGCCCCCAAGCCCGGGGCCTCCCATCGGGGGGCCTCGGGCGTTCAGCTGCTTTCGCTGAACCTCTCGGTTGCGTTGCCCTGTTTCCGTCTGCGCGCGTCGTCATCTGAGCAACATGCCATTCGTGCGAATGCGCGCCCCTGCCGCAATCATCGATATACAATGTTCGATAGCGGGTCGGCACGACGTCTGGGGCGCTTCTGTCTCACTCATGAATTTCAGCCATCCACCGTAGACGTGCAATCGGTAATCATTTGCTTGCTTGCCCGAATATCAGACCGAGATTTGCTTGAGGTCCTGGTGCGTACGCGCCTGACAGTGATCCTGTCGGGTAGTAACGAGCGCGGCAAGTATCCGCAAAATGGTGCGCCCGGAAAGCATCCTCGACTTTCTCAAATACTACGAACACAGGCGACCGATTTCACTTGCCAAGTGTCTCATGGGAGGCGGCGCCTCCGCGACTTTGGAGATCTGGTTAACCTTCGACATCAAGTCCAAAACGATCGGCAGATCAAGTCTCCCGGATTCGCCGGGGACGTCGAGGCGCCCTATAGGCGCCTCTTTGATTTGAAGGGCAGCGTTGATCCAAGGGGTCGCACTTATGCACTGCGTAGAGCTAGACGAGACATACCCGGCTACTTTCCTCAACAAATCCTTGTACACACTGGCATCAAGAATGGGATCGAGGACAACCATTCACTAGCCCAAAACATACCCGGACCCGGGGTCAGCTGGGGTGAAAAGGGCCGCCCGCTAGAGCGTTTTCGGCCTTGCCGCCACCTCGTCTGGGTACGGGTCGGTGCCCGAAACAACCATACATACCCGGACCTAGCTGGGGTGGTGGTCGGGTCACCCCGTCTAGGTACGGGTATGTATGGTGGTTTCGGGGGCCGACCCGGACCCAGGGGGGGTGATGCCCCGAGGGCCCCTTGCCACCCCGTCTGGGTAAGGGTACGGGTATCTTTCGCGCTCGAGAACCATGTCCGTCGTCCCCATGCCTGTCCATGCGCCTCCAACACCCAGAACGCCCTTCGGGAGATTCGCCGGATTTCCATTCCCCGGCGGAGAATTGCCACCCGGGGGGCCGCAACGACAGCGACGCCTGTCTCCGTCATCCCTCTCCTCGTCGCCCAAGGGGCCTTCGCCCTCGCCCTCGGGCTCGGTATCTGAATCGTCATCGGATCCGCCACCGCCGTCGCCGCGCGGGCCTGGGCCTTTCTTTTCCTCGGCGGGGGGGAGTGAAACCTGGGAACCTCGTGACAGGCACCGCCTCCGCGGCGACCCCGTCTTGGCTTTCCTTCTTTTCCGACGCTCGTCGTCGTCCCTGACGTTCTCCCCCGGCTGAATTTCCAGTTTTTCGGCGACGAGCTTTGCCTCTGCCGGTGCTTCTCTTCTGAATTCCATACATATATATATATATCTGTATATATATATATATATGTATAGATCCGCGCGGTGTTCCCTTCGCTGTTCATTGGCCGCAGCGCGGCGCTCCATATTCTTTTCTGCTTCGCGCCACACACGCGTCAACTTACAACGCTCGGCAGCGGCGCTGTCCTCGAACGCCCTCGAGCACCGAGCGACCGCGCTCTCTATCCCTTGCTCCGAGGAGGCCGTGGCATCGCCTGGCGCCTTCCCCGAAATAGGTCGACAATCGGATGGCCCTGCGCCTGGCGATGTCTGAGCGGCTACGCGCTCTTCCATGCCCATTCCAACTTTACGCCCATTCTCTTCTTCTTCCGCTTCTCTATCGTCCGCCCCCCGTTCCTGGGCGGACGCAGCGAAGCATGTCGCGCGTCGATGTTCTCCCTGACCAAGATGGCCCCGACACTAGGTACTCGACCAGCGCCGACAGTCGCAAACGGCAGTTTTCGCGCAACTTCGGCACCGTAGAGACGCAGCACCCACCGACGAGCGAGCAGGAAGGGGCGCTGCTTCGCGCGAACCCGATGCCACGCACAGCGCTCTGATAATTACTGGCGATATTTTCTCCAAGGCATTCTCGCTCGGCCTGCTTTGGATGCGCTGCGCCGACAGCTCGCGGCGCTGCGCCTCGCGTTGAGCCCCCTGCCGTTTACGCGTCTGCGTCGCAGTCGCATCCGCGTCGCGGGAAGCAGCGCCCAATTTGGCATTGGCTTTTCGCTCCGCCGCCTGAGCTCGCAGCGCAGCCTCGTTGGCCGCAGCGCTGGCGCGAGAGGATAAGGCTTCCGATTTCAAGGCAATGGCGCGCCCCCGCTGCCGAGAGTCATCGACCTCGCCTCGGGCTCGACGCAATGAGACTGCACGCTTGTTTGCAGTGCGCTCGGCCGCGCCAGCGGCGGCCCTCTTTCGGCAGCCGCCTGCTGAATCTCAGTGGTCGCTTTGAAAGTCAACTCAACATTGCGCTCTACTGCTGCCTCTAGTTCTGCAGTCTGATGATCCACCGCCGTCAGTTGGCTGAGGTTGGCCCCCTGGACAGCAGACGCAGCCTTTTCAAGAGTCTCAGCGGCAACTCGTGCCTGCCTCTCGGCCGCCTCGCTTGCCCCGGGCCTGCGCGCCATCTCTTCCATCTCAGCATGAGCCCTCTCGTGTTCACCGCCCGCCGCGAGGCGCAGGCGCCCCCCGGAATGCTCGCAAGCGCGAATGGGGGCCTGCCGGTCCTCCACGATTTGCAGCCCTGCCTCGGCCCTCTACTGAAGTTCTGCGGCCCTGACCTGCACCTGCAGATGCGCCGCTGCTGTTTCGCGATCTTCCACCGGGGCGGCGCGGTTCTTTTCGCGCATCCCAGTCCATTCTCCATCCTCGGCGGAGGGCCATGCAGTTGCGCATGCTGGGGGCATTGCAACCAGGGCACAGGAAACTCAAGTTTCGCTCTGCGCAATTCACTGAGAAAGCACGCGGCTTTTTGCATCTGCAAGTCATTCCAGGGCACCTGATCTCAAGGGCATCGGAGCAGCCGACCCCTTTGTGAAAGCACTCTTCCTGTATGCGATATCTCGATATATTCGAGCGAACCGCGCATGCCGACCGCGATGGCGCTCCCGACCTCAAGACGGAGGCGAGGTTCGGACTCGTCATTACCCTCCCTGTCGACTCGCCTCTGTGCCCCCAAGCGAGGGGGGCGTTATGCGATCCGCGCCTCGGTATCCAGCAGTTCCCAGACCGGTGCCGCCCAACTCCTCTGGTGGGCTCTCCGTTTCCGACAAGTTGTCCACCGGCGAATTCGACAATGCGACGCCATCTCGAGGTTGCTTAACCGCCGGAGTCCGTCGAGTGCGCTTGGCGCGCCCAGAAAACATCCTCGACTTCGTCAAATGTTACGAACACAGGCGATCGATTCCACTTGCCAAAAGTCTCATGGGACTTGACGCCTCCGCGACTTTGGAGATCTGGTTAACCTTCGACATCAAGTCCAAAGCGATCGGCAAATCAAGTCCCCCGAATTCGCCGGGGACGTCGAGGCGCGCTGTCCGTTTCCGACAAGTTGTTCACAAGCGAGTTCGACAATGCGACGCCATCTCGAGGTCGCTTAACCGTCGGAGTCCGTCGAGTGCGCTTGGTGCGCCCGAGAGGTATCCTCGACTTTCTTAAATGTTACGAACACAGGCGATCGATTTCACTTGCCAAGTGTCTCATGGGAGGTGACGCCTCCGCGACTTTGGAGATCTGGATAACCTTCGACATCAAGTCCAAAACGATCGGCTGATCAAGTCTCCCGAATTCGCCGGGGACGTCGAAGCGCCCTATGATCGCCTCTTTGATCTGAAAGGCAGCGTCGATCCAAGGGGTCGCATTTATCCACTGCGTAGAGCTGGACAAGACACACCTGACTACGTTCCTCACCAGATCCCTGTACCCACTGGCATCAGGGATAGGATCGAGGACGACCATGTCCGTCTTCCCCATACCTGTCCACGCGCCTCCAACACCCAGAACGCCCTTCGGGCGATTCGCCGGATTTCCATTCCCCGGCGGAGAATCGCCACCCGGGGGGCCGCAACGACTGCGACGCTTGTCTCCGTCATCCCTCTCCTCGTCGCCCAGGGGCCTTCGCCCTCGTCCTCGGGCTCGAAATCTGAATCATCATCGCATCCGCCACCGCCGTCGCCGCGCGGGCCTGAGCTAGCGCCCCTTGGGGCAGAATCATCGGGCCCTCCCCCTTCGCGCGCGCCGCCGCCATCGTCGCCTCCACCTCCGGGCATCCGGGAGCTTGGGGGAGTGAAACAGTGTTTGTGCCAGTGCTTCTCTTCTAAATTCAATACATATATATATATATATATGTATATCCGCGCGGTGTTTCCTTCGCAGCTCAGTGGCCGTAGCGCGGCGTTCCATGTTCTTTCCTGCTTCGCGCCGCGCATGCATCAACTTGCAGCGCTCGGCAGTGGCGCTGTCCTCGAACGCCCTCGAGCACCGCGCGACCGCGCTCTCTGTCCCTTGCTCCGAGGAGGCCGTGGCATCGCCTGGCGCCTTCCCCGAAATAGGTCGACAGTAGGATGGCCCAGCGCCTGGCGATGTCTGAGCGGCTGCGCGCTCTTCCATGCTCACTCCAACTTTACGCCCAGTCTCCTCTTCTTCCGCTTCTCTATCGTCCGCCCCCCGTTCTTCTTGGGCGGACGCAGCGAGGCGCGTCGCGCGTCGATGTTCTCCCCGGCCAAGATGGCCCCGACACTAGGCACTCGACCAGCGCCGACAGTCGCAAATGGCAGTCGCCGCGCAACATAGGCACCGTCAAGCGAGCAGGAAGGGGCGCTGCTTCGCGCGAACCCGATGCCAAGCGCAGGGCTCTGACAATTACTGGCGATATTTTCTCCAAGGCATTCTCGCTCGGCCTGCTTTGGATGCGCTGCGCCGACAGCTCGCGGCGCTGCGCCTCGCGTTGAGCCCCCTGCCGTTTACGCGTCTGCGTCGCAGTCGCATCCGCGTCGCGGGGTGCAGCGCCCAATTTGGCATTGGCTTTTCGCTCCGCTGCCTGAGCTCGCAGCGCAGCCTCTTTGGCCACAGCGCTGGCGCGAGAGGATGAGACTTTCGATTTCAAGGCAGTGGCGCGCCCCCGCTGCCGGGAGTCATCGACCTCGCCTCGGGCTCGACGCAATGAGACTGCGCGCATGTCTGCAGCGCGCTCGGCCGCGCCAGCGGCGGCCCTCTTTCGGGCAGCCGTCTGCTGGATTCGCTTTGAAAGTCAACTAAGAATTGCGCTCTACTGCGGCCTCTAGTTCTGCAGTCAAATGACCCACCGCCGTCTGTTGGCTGAGGTTGGCCCCCTGGACAGCAGACGCAGCCTTTTCAACAGTCTCAGCAGCAACTCGCGCCTGCCTCTCGGCAACCTCGCTTGCCTCGAATCCGCGTGCCATTTCATCCATCCCAGCAGGAGCCCTCTCGTTTTCATCGACCATCTGGAGGCGCAGGCGCCCCCCGGTATGCTCGCAAACGCGAATGGGGGCCTGCCGGTCTTCCACGATTTGCAGCCTTGCCGCGGCCCGCTACTGAAGTTCGGCGGCCAGGACCTGCGCCTGCAGATGCGCCGTTTCTGTTCCGCGATCTTCCACCGGGGCGGCGCGGTTCTTCTCGCGCACCCCATTCCATTCTCCATGCTCGGGGGCGGGGGGCCATGCAGTTGCGCATGCTGGGAGCATTGCAGCCAGGGCACAGAACGCTCAAGTTTTGCTCTGAGCGATTCACTGAGCACGCCGAGCATGCGGCTTTTTGCATCTGGGGCACCTGAACCCAAGGGCATCGGCGCAGCCGACCCCTTTATGAAAACACTTTTCTTGTATGCGATAGCTCGATGTATTCGAGCGAACCGCGCATGCCGACCGCGATGGCGCTCCCGACCTCAAGATGGAGGCGAGATTCGGACTCGTCATCGCCCCTCCCTGTCGACTCGCCCCTGTGCCCCCTAGCGAGGGGGGCGTTATGCGATCCGCGCCTCGGTATCGAGCAAATCCCACACCGGTGCTGCCCAACTCCTCCGGTGGGCTCTCCGTTTCCGACAAGTTGTCCACCGGCGAGTTCGACAATGCGACGCCATCTCGAGGTCACTTAGTCGTCGGAGTTCGTTGAACATCACCGGAAAGCGGTTCTTCGTAGGGGTCGTCAAGACCGTCAAGCTCTGACTTGGACAAGGTTTCATGTTCCTGACGTAGGCGCTCGACTAAACCATCGGTTCGAAGGTCAGTTTCCTCCCTGTGCGTCCCCGCAGTGTCGCCAAGAGATGAAGAAAAATGGTCAGATGCCACGTCGTCCGAGACTACGTTGGAATCGTTTCCCAGCCCAGGCGCGTCTGGCCGAAAAGGAGAGCTGTCGCCTCTAGCTATGGAGACAAGGATGTGCATGCTGGCATTATGCGAATAGCGTGGAGTCGGGTCCTGACATCGTCAGGGTCTTGGAAGACGACTTTCGCCGCTTCCTTGAAGCCGTGTGGATGTTCTGGCGCACCATAAGCATCATATTCATCATCAGCTCCTGAAGGGAATGCCTCCTGGCCTCGTGGACGAACAGGCCGACTGATGACAAATGTTTTGCCTCTCCGCCGTCATATTCGGCAAACGCGTCTTGTTGTTCATGGGTTGTTCTGCTTGTTGACCTTCTTCTTCAAGTAGCTCACCAGAGGCTAACCTCCCACTTCGAGCTGGTGAGTATATGGCTGCGTAAACCCGTGAAGCAGAACCGCTCTGAACTAAATGTGGTGTGGCCGCGTGCGCGCGCGTAAGGCGGGCCCGCCCGGCCGGCCGGGGCGCGCGCTTTTGCTTGAGTAACTATCGCAGCTGCGGGGGCAGACCCTCCGCACAATCCATGCCCATACCTACACTCAGCAAGGGAAAAGACTGGACGGCTGTAAAGTAGGCTAAGGGAGAGTTTGTAATGACTCGTTCACCCTCCCCCTTCCTCCTGCTCCCCCCTTCCTCCCATACTACTATTCCCCCTCCTCTGTCCTCCCATTGCCCTCCTCTTCATCCGCGATCACGGGTCTCAGCCAGCTATTATTTCTGTTTCGCCCCCCACCGTCTCTAAGGGAATCTGGATCTCCAGGTGAATAGATACACCATGGACCAACGATATACCAGCCGCCCCTACCTGCCTTGGAGCAGGGCCCTGCACCTCACCTGGACCGCGCGCTACCAGGATTTCCAAACGTATCCTGGCCTGACGGCGACGAGGTGTTCCCCACTCCCCTCTGCAGACCCAAAGGGGGAGGAAGGGGAGGGGGAGGAGGAGGAGGACCCTGTCCTCCTGTTCCTTCTCTGCTCCTGGGGCAAACGCGGCGCCTCCCACTGGAACTGCTCCAAGGTCATTGCTGGGAAGCGGATGAGGAGCAGCGTCTCGAGGTCGTCCGCCCTGAGCACCTCGGCGGTGACGCGACGAAGGAAGGCGAGTGGGGGGAGAAAAGGGGAAAGAGAGAAGGGTCTCTTCCCTCCACCATTTCTTCCACAAACCATTCCCTCCCACTCCTCCTCACCGCCATGCTTTCTCCCGTCCTCCAATCCCTCCACCTTCCACCTTCTACCCCACCCTTCGCGCGATGGATGACTGGGGGGAGGAGTCGGGGGAGTTGGAGGAGGCTCCCTTCTTCTTTGGGACTTTGTGAGACTCCGCGGGAGCCTTCTCGAAAGCCTGTTCGTAACGGGCTCCAGGACAGGTCTGACGAGAGGAGAAAGGGAGACGAACCATGCTCCTCCTCCCGTTCACCTTCATGCAAGTGCTCATCACACTCCTCCTCCTTTTCTGAGTTCCTCCTAAGGAGAGGGTGGACGACTTCTTAGAAAGAAACTGCATCTTAGAAGGCGCTGGCCTTACATCTACAGACTAGACCCGCGCCGTCTAAGGAGCACGGATGCACCTGAGAAGCCTTCCCCCCTCCACTCATCCCCTCTTCCTTTTCCTCTTCGTCTTCGTCTTGTTCCTCCTCCTCCTCCTCCTCCTCCTCCTCCTCTTCCTCGCCGTGTCACTGCTCATCACCTTCCTCTTCCTCCCTCTTCCTCTTCTTATTCCTCCTGCTTTTTCGTATGATTATCATTATTCCTCTTCTTCCTCCTCCTCCTCGTGGTGTTAATGCTTCTCACATTCCTCCTCTTCCTCGAGCCTCCTCTTCCTCTTTCTTGTGTTTCTCCTTATGATTAGTTTTTGTATTATTCTTATTATTAGATGTCCTGATCTTCCTCCTCTTCTTCTTCCTCTTCCTCCTCCAGGGGGGGGTGCTGCCGCCCAGGGGGCCCATCGGAATGGGCCGCAGAGTCTCAGAGCGATCCCAAACCTCGACGACGACGACGATGACGACGACGACGACGACGACAACTCCCAACACCCACTCGACGACCACGAAAGAGCAAGGGTCTCCAAAACGTCTCTGGTCGTGTGGGCCTCTGCAATGCACTGATCGCGAGCTTCTACACTGTCGCGTGGTCGCCTGATCGCGAGCTTCTGCACTACAGCTCCGGGGGCACTACCTATATCCGACAAGGATCCCTGCTGCTTCCTCGTCGCGACGACGACGAGGACGACGATGGCTACGACGGCCGTGGTGACGAATGCGACACGCGCCGGCATCCAAGTCCTCCAAATTCGCCCCTGGACCACTCCGGAGGCCTGCGGCATGCATTCTGAGATCCGACGCTGCGGAACAAAAACCGCACATCGCGAAGGCTCACGTCTGGTGCCCCAGACCTCGTCTGTCTGCTGCCCCTCTTCGAGCTGGGTCGAGTCGTGAAGCACCCGGGTCCCGAAGCTGAGCGGAAGCGCCCGGTGTGAACGAGACTGCAGCGCCCGTCACCCAAGAAGCCCTGGAGAACCCCTCTGGGGCTCTTCCGACAGCTGCTGGCGAAGCAGGCGCAACGGCGACGGCGACGGCGGCGGCAGCGCCTCCCTCTTGCTCTCCGGGCCCGGCGGCAGGCCGAGCAGAGAGCAGCGCCTGGCCGCACTACTTGCAGGAGGCCCCTCCCCTCGTCGCCACCGCCGCAGCCGTCGCCGTCATCGTCGCCGACGCCGCCGCTGTCGCCGCCACCGCCCCGGATCTCCGACGGCACGCGCGTTTTTGACAGTCCGATTACCCCAAGACTCCGACGAAGCGGCTTTTCCCCGAATTCATGCCCCAGGGCCATCAAACCCGGAACTGGGGCGAGAGACGACGGCCTGGTAAGCGGTCGGGACCTCTGGGGCCGCAGATTGAACAAAGTCATGTCGGTCACCGCCGCCGCCGTCGTCGCCAACGTTCCATCGCCGTCGTCGCCGCCGCTTAGCGGCCATTTGTCGCCACTGCCGCCACCGCCGCCGCCGCAACCGCCATGGTCTTCGCCGCAGTCGCCGCCATCATCGCCGCCGCAGCTGTCGTCGTCGTCGTCAAAGGGGAAGACGAGGAGGGGAGAGGAGCGGAGGTCAGGGAGGAACCGAGGAAAGGGTTTGTCCTGTCGACCTGGAATCCAAGGTGCAGTCCAGGTGGTATGACTCGGGCTGTTCTGACCCCGAGATGCTCTCGACTTGAGCCGACGCAGGAACTCGTCGGGCCTTCTGTGGCCTCGTTACGTAGGCCCTCTCGGCTCCGCAGGGGCCATCCTGGGTTCTGGCACAATGGGGGGCTCCTCCTCCACCTTCTCTTCCTCCTCTCTTCTTCCTCCTCCTCCTCCTCCTCCTCCTCCTCCTCCTCCTCCTCCTCCTCCTCCTCCTCCTCCCCCTTCTCTTGTGCAAGAGAACGCGAGGGGTCCTCCCAATGCATGATGTCCAGGCTGACGATGAGCCTTCCCTATGTTCCAGCGTTCCTCCTCCTCCTCCTCCTCCTCCTCCTCCTCCTCCACCTCTTGGAGGCCGTCGCCGGCCACATGGCCAGGCTACGCGAGAACGGACAGGTCCTCCCTCCTCCCGTATCCCGTCGACCCTCCTCCCGCTCCCCTACCTCTCTCTCTCACTCTGTCTCTCATCCTCCTCTTCCTCCTCCTCCTCCTCATCATCCTTCCTCCTCCTCCTGCTCCTCCTCCTCCTCCTCCGCCTCCTCCTCCTCCTCCGCCTCCTCCTCCTCCTCCACCTCCTCCTCCTCTTCCTCCTCCTGCTCCTCCTCCTCCTCCTCCTCCTCTGTCTCTCTTTCTTTCTCTCTCTCTCTCTCTCTTCACTCCCTCGGCCCCGGCCCTGCCGCTGAGTGCCGCTGAGGTAAGAGAGGCATGTGCTGGGCAATCGCGAGGAGGCGAGGCGCAACAATGGCATGCAAACAAGCCGACGCTGCGCACGTGGATCCGGCGGAGCTCTGGACGGTGCGTGCGCGACTGCCCCCTCTTTTGGAGACGTGGTGGCACACGCGTGGCCATGCAGAGTTCCGCCGCCACGCCGAACCCCCGAGCGGCTGCCCGGCGCCTGCTGGCCCACTCGTTGGCGGCGTTGAACAACGCGATCTCGGGCACGCTGCACTGCGGCAGCTTAAGCAGCTGGCGCAGCGTGCGCAGGCCCACACACCACATGTCGGGCCCAGAGAACCGCCGGGACCCCCTCGCGGGCCCTCATAGTGTGCATTCCTGCGGGGCTCTCTGGATACCTCGGGAGAGCCATGGGGGCACACCACGTGCATGGGAGTCCCCTGGGATCGAAAGAAGTTGTTTGGAGGCGTTTGTGATCGATTCCTAAGACTCCAAGAGTTTCCAGGGACGTCTGCAATCTTATGAGACACAACGTCTGGGGAGCCTCCGGGGCCCCCACAGCGGGTTCAGCGTCGTCGCGGTCCTCGTGGTAGTGGTGGCCGTCGTCGTCATGTGCGTGGTCGCGGCTTTGGTTTTCGTTGTTGATGTCGTGGTCGTGTGATTCGCTGTGGTCGTCGTCGTGGTCCTCGTCGCGATATCGTCGTCATTGTTTGTCTCCTCCTCCTCCTCATCCTCCTCCTCCTCCTCCTCCTCCCCTTTCAACCTCCTCCTCCTCCTCCTCACGCTCCTCCTCCTGCTCCTCCTCCTCCTTCTCCTCCTCCTCCGCCTCCGTCTGTCATTCCCAATCCTTCTCCTGTTCCTCCTCCTCCTCCCTTTTGTCCATTTTGCTATCGCTCTCGCTCTCGCTCGATCGCTTTCGCTGAGCGTTCGTTGTTCGCTCCACCTCCTCCCTCCCCCTCTTCGTCCTTTCCCTCCTCTTCTCCCTGTGCCGCTGCTCTTCCTGTTCCTCATCCCTCCTCCGCCTCCTTCCCATCACCCTCCTGCTATTCCTAATTCCCGTCCCCCTGTCGTCCTGCACCGTCCTCATTGAAATCATACCTCCCTCCGGTGAACCACCAATGGTGCTGAAACTGGGGGTGCCACACAATTCCCCACCATGGCCCGAACGCTGACATAAAACATCATGATCTTACACGGATGGAAGGCGAGCGGTTATAAACGTGTAGAACCCGCATTAACGCCGCTCGCATTCATCCTACAATTGTTCCCAGACGTCGTGTGGTGTTGGGTCGTCGCTATGAGAAGACAGCGCCCCGCGTTCCTTCCTCCTCCCTCTGCTACCATCAGAATCGTCATCGACATCGTCATCATCATCATCATCACCATCAGCAGCATCAGCATCACCATTGTCATCGTCGTCGCCACCATCGCCGTCATCATCATCATCATCATCATCAACGTCACCATCATCATAATCATCATCATCACCATGCTTATGCATACCACCACCGTCATCCTTACCACCATCATCATCATCAGCATCATCAGCATCGCTGTCGTCATCTCCAAGCCGCATCACCACCACCATCATCACCACCATCGTCAGAACCATCCACGTCATCGTCATCATCATCACCATCATCATCGCCACCAGTTCCGGCAGACCCCTCACACGTTGCGGGGCCCCGTAGGGAGGTCCAGCTAAGGCCCGGATGGCACCGTTCGCATACGGACGTCGCCCCCGTTGCGACGCATCCCTCGCACGTTCTGTGGCCCCACAGGGAGCTCCATCTGAGGCCCACATCGCACCGTTGGCACGTGGGCGTCGCCCCCGTGTCGACGCACACCTCGCACGCTTCGTGGCCGCACTGGGAGCTGAGGTCCCAGCGGCACCTGTCGCGGGCGGGCGTCACCTACAGGCAGGTCAGCGCGGGCGGCGCTGGGCAGCGTGAGGGCAACTGGCGGGCAGCTGAGCACTGGCGCCGGGCAGGCCCGCGTCGGCGGACAGGCAGGACAGCGACCGGGCCACGCGCCGCCCAGGCTGGCGGCCCCGAGGATGGCCGCCTGCGCCACGTGTGCCACGACCACGCACCAACAACCCCTATGCGTCGCGAGGTGCCGAAAAAGGGTCTCGCGAACAAAAAAGAGTGAGCAGAGGTAGCCACATACTGTGGACTGCTTCCCGGGCGGGGCGCTATACAAAATCGCGTGGAACACTCCGGAAGCATCGATCTTACACGGGCACCGCGGCAGTGTCAGCGACTCTGCCCCTGCTGAGGGGTGCCCACCAGGGTGCGACTGTGCCCCGACGCTGGACTGGACGCCGACGGGGGATCCTTTCTCCGGGGCCCCAGGCTGCGGCGCGGGGAGCCGCCCGGCGGGGCGACGGCTGGTCGCAGGTTGCGGCTCCGAGGGCGGTCCCAGCGGCGCGGGGGGCGCCTAGAACGGCCCCTGGCGGCCCGTCAGCGGCGCGCAGGCGGCCCTGGGCCTGGCCGGGCCGCCCAGCGGCGGCGCTGCGTCAGGGCGGCGTCGAGGGCTGCGGCTCACGCCATGCCTGGACCAGCTGTCGCCGCGGCGTGGGCCTCCCGCGGCAAGTTCGCGGCGACCGCAGGTACCGCGCTTCGTCCGTGGGGAGCGCCGCCACGGCAGCCCTCCAAGCTGGGTCGGCTGGGGTTTGCCAGGCGGCTGGGCGGGTCGTGCCAGGCAGAGCGCTGGGCGCAGACTTGAGCCTAAGTATGGCCACGGCGGGGTCGGGGGGGGGCTGCCTGGGTCAGAGGCGCGTCGGCCAGGCCTGCAAGCAGGGGTGCCTCGCGAGGAGGGCACAAGGGAGGGCGGGGGGAGGGGCAGGGGCAGGCAGCAGGAGCGGGAGCGGGGAACGGGGGGGAGGGAGAAAGGCGGAGAAGCGGGAGGGCACGGGGAGGGGGCGGGGGGAGAGGGGGGGGGAAGAGCGTGGGTGGCGGACGCTCCATTAGCCCGGCCACGCGCCAGCTCGGCGTGGGTCACAGAGGCTCCTCCTCCTACTCCTCCTTTTCCCTCCTCCTTCCTTCCCTCGCTTGTCATCCTCTTTGGTTTATTGTACCCAGTCGTCCTAGTTCTTCGTTCTCTCACTCTCGCCTCCTCCTTCTCCTCCTCCTCCTTCTCCTCTTCCTCCTCCTCCTCCTCTCCTCGTTCCTCGAATTCATCATCCCTCCAACTCGTCCTCCTCCCTCCTCTTCCTCGACGTCCTCCTCCTCCTTCTCCTCCTTCCCCCCCCCACCCCATTCTCGATCCTCCTCCTCATCCAGATGTTGAGTGGGTCGAGGGAGTGCTGCGGCGGGGCCATGCGCCAGCCCTCAGAATGACGGCGCCCGTCTCCTCCTGGACGCACCTGGCCGCTTCCGGCGCGCCGCTGCCGCCTTTTGTTGCCGCACATCGCGGCCCATCGCCGCCCGTCGTCGTCGTCGTCGTCGTCGTCGTCGTCGTCGTCGTCGTCGTCGTCGTCGTCGTCGTCGTCGCCGTCGTCGTCGTCGTCGTCGTCGTCGTCGTCGTCGTCGTCGTCGTCATCGTCATCGTCGCCGTCGTCGACGTCGTCTTCGCCGTCGCCCGTCGTCGTCGTCCGTCTTCGTCAGCTTCTTCAACTTTGTCGTCGTTGTCGTCACCGTTGTTCGTCCTCGCTCGTCGTTGCCGCCACCGTCGTCGCGTCGTCGTCATCGTTGTCGTCGTCATCATCGTTGTGGTCGTCGTCGTCTTCGTCGTTGTCCTCGCCTTCTTCTTCGTCTTCGTCGTCATCTCGGAATTCGAAGGTGATGCTGTCAACCATCGTGGTCGTCGCCCCCGCCGGAGCCGTCGTCGCAGTTGCCGTGGTCGTGGTCGTTGTCGTCATCATCGCTGTCCTTATCGTCCTTGTTGTCGTGGTCACTGTGGTCGTCGTCCTCCTTGTCCTCCTCTTCTTCCTCCTCTTATTCCTGCTCCTCCGACGGGTCCCTGTACAGTCCCATGGCCTGGGGATGGGCCATGCCGCACTCGCATCGCCACTACGATGGCGGTTCGCCCCAATCCCTCTGCTCGTATACATGCTTGCGCGCTCTGATACTCCCAAAACTCCCCGAAGATCGAAGATGATACGGGTGTGGAAACCTGCGAAGTCCTTCAGAGAAAACCTGCTGAGACCTGTGCGGAGACCTCTAGACATAAACGCGACATCCGAAGAATTCTGGGGACCTCCTCCCCGTCCTCCTCTTCCTCCTCCGCCTCCTCTCCCGCTAATCATCCTCGTCGTGTTCCTCCTCCCCCTTCCTTCTTCTCCTCCCCCTGCTCCTGCCCCCCCTCTTTCAGGGACGCGCAAACATGGATTAACGATCCATGTATGTGGCGCGCGGTCGCCAAATCCGTGGATCGGGGAAGGTGCCCTCCCCAAAGTGCGGCCGGTGCCGCCATGTTCCTGTATGTTCGCTTTGTTGTTCGTTCTGCTCGACCTGTTTTCCTGTGCCTTCCTCCCTAAACAAGAAACAAGTCTGGACGACCCTGCCAAACGGCGTTTAGGTCCAGCCCTGGAGCGTGCCAACCGCATCTCTCAAGACCGCCCTGGCTTCCCCCCCGAGGGCCGACCTCGACCCCCCGCGTTGATACCCTGCGCGCGGCATTTGAAAACGGCAACTGCGCGCAGGCCTTCGCCGCGGCGACCCTTTGCATCGGCCCCGTCCGGCTCCCGAGGTCCTACGTGGCGGGAAAAGAGCACGATCGCGAACAAAATCAATCACGACCACAGCACTGGGCCCCATCTGTCTGCGGCCGTTTTCGAGCCGCGTCGATCTGCGAAGGGCCAGTGGGCCCGAACCCTGGCAAAAACGCCCGGCTCGGAAAAATTGGATCACCGCAGGACCTCAGGATAGCCATTCTTTTCTTCGGGGGCGTCCAAGAGGATGAGGGCGTCCAAGAGGGAAGCTCGCAGATCATAGCCAGAGGCACGTGCGCGGACAAGGGGGTGCCAGGGGACGTGGCGAAGAAGAACAATACACATACAAATAACAACCATGATAATACTAAGACACATGTGAGAATTTTCTAAACTTAGACGAATACTACGAATAAGATGAATACGGCTGATATTACAATAATGAAAATAGCGACAATCAGCATAAACATGATAATAATAACAACAATACTAAGGTGAACACAACTATCAGCAATAACGATACTAGAAATAATACTAGGAACTAATACACAATATAAAGGGGGCAGGACACCTGGGCGATATCAGGGGCCCGGCCATGGTATCCCCCTGTGTACAACACCCCCTTCTTGCCCCGCACCGACTCAAGAATGCCAACTTGGCCCGAACCCATTATGGCTCGACCCACGTCGGATCGAGGTGGCGTGCGCT